ATTCATGGTGGCATCATTGCTGTCCCCCCAGACTGAGCATCCTCCCCCACCCCACCCCCACTCCATTCCCTCCTTCCATCCACTCAGGTAACAACGAAAAGGAGCGGGGGTGGGGTGGGTGGGAGGAAATGGACTCTGCTGCTTCTCGGGGGCAGCCAGGGCTGGGAGGGTCCTCCGTCACACATTGCAGGCCACGTCTGACGGGGAAAGGGCGAAATCTCCGGGGTCTTTCTTTGCTGGGCCTCCCTTGGAGCGGTTCCCGGGGGCCCCCGAGAAGGGGAGATGAAGAGCTGCAGGCCTTGTGCTGGGGAAGCCACCCCGGTTGCCTCTTGGCCCCATACAAACACGGGGGCTGGGCTGGCTACCTTCCCCCAATTTGAGTAGTAGAGCAATTCATGCCAGCTTCCCCAGTGTTGCCAGCTGTGGGCCCACCAGACAGTGATGCCACCCACTGAGGACGACCTCGGGAACCTCGTCAAAAGCTTTTCTGGGTCTCTTGGGTGGGGGGGAAGTGGCAGAAACCAGGTCTAGTGGACTAAAAATGCCAGCCTCTCCTGTGGGAGCTGCTCAGCTCTGGGTGCCGAAACGACCCCGAGAGACACAAACCATTGGTGCATCCTTTCGAGAGCCGATTCTTTTGAGGGAGGGGGAGAGAAAAAGAAGAGACCCCCCGCCCCGCAGCTCTTCCAGTTAGATTGCAAAGCAGTTCAGCCCCTGGTTTCTCTTACCGGGTTGCCCCCCAATCCTCTGCCACGGACTCCACCTCCTCACGCAGGAGCCAGGTGGTCTTCAGCTGCTCCTCTCCGTCCCCATCCAGGAAACACTGGCCCGCAAAGACGGCGACGGACTCTGGGGGAGGAATCGGGCCGGAGACTCACTGGCAGGTAACATGGGGGTGTAGTGTGGGGGTGGGCTGTAGGTCCCATAGATCCACCCACCCGAACAACTGACTCCACGCCCGTGGCACCTGGAGACTCAAGGAATTTTATGGGCTCCGAAGTGTTTGGGCAGCTCCAGCTAACGGGGAGGAGGGAACATTCAGTGAAACCATCTGCAAAGGCCGATCTAAGGAAGGGGAGATCCCCTAGATTCCCTCCCCCCATTCTATTTGATTTCAGTCCAAATAGTGGGTGCCTCTACCGGAGAAGCTCCAGTTGACGGTGAAGCCGAAGGTGGGCTGGGCTCGCCGGTCCACCTGGTGCTGGACGCCCTGCAGAGGGGATGGCCGGATGGCGTTGTCGGTGGCAGCCATGGCCGTCAGGTAGGAGCCGCTGAACACCCCGGAATTATCGCTGTCGGTGATAACCATCTTGGAGCCCCGGTTACTCACCCAGTTGCCGGTCAGGGCGCACTAAAGGAGCGGGAGGAAAGCAGGTCAGGGCGCCGGGCGAGAGAGTCTGCTTGACTCCCTTTTCTCCGGGGCTCTGAAAACTCCCGCTGCTCCCACGCGCCCGATCCCCCGGGCTGCCCACGCCGGGAGGGCCGGCAAAGGCGGCCCCTCCCGAAGCCCCCTGGCTCGAGGCGCCTGCCACCTGCCCGGCGAGCAGCCGGCCGAAGTCGCGGCAGAGGAGCAACCGCCCGGCCGCCGTCAGGGACCCAGAGGCTCTGGCGCTCGGCGCGACGGGACCGGGCGCGACCCACCGCGAGGGAGCGGCACCCTCTGCGCAGCACCGGCGGCCCACCCCAGCAGAGCCTGGCAGCGGGGGATTTCCACCAGGGAGGCTGGGACCCTCTGCCCGCCACCCCGCACCTTACCTTCCGCGGGGCGAAGCGCTCCGAGTTTCGGGGCTCGGCAGCGGTGCCGGAGCAGCCGAGCAGGAGAGCGAAGAGCCCCAGAAGTGCTGTGCCCATCGCCATGGTGCTCTCCAGGAACCTCGACTTGCCAGCCCCGGGCGGGACGGCCCCTTATGAAGGGGCCCCGCTCATCCCCGCCCGCCCCCCATTCAGCTGCCACCTCCGCCCACCCCTCGCGGGAGGGAGGGGGGGCCAGGATCCCCGCCCGAGGGGGCGGACGCTTCTGGGAAACCGCTGGTCCTTTGGGCGAGCGCTGGCCGTGACTTTGGCGGGCGTGGGCAGAGCACGAAGGCCATTCTGGGGGTCCCCGTGCGTCTCTTGGTCTGCTGCCCGGAAAACGGACCTCAGTTTCTGGCGAAAACTGCCGCTCTGCGGGGCGAAGGGCCGGGCTGCTTCGCTCAGCTATTGGTCTCCGGGGGAAGCTGACCCTCCGAACCGGCCGCCACGCAGCAGCAGCAGGCCCCGCGGTGCCCGTGGCGGCCCAGCCCTGGCTCACCCAAGGCGACCAACTCACACGGGGAGGTCCTGCAGCCCAAGTTTGCTTACAGGCAGACGAGCAACAGGGCCGGATCTAGCGGAGCCCCCCGGGTGGGGGGTGGGCTGGGCTCAGGTGCTTTGCTGAGCGGCCCGTGGCCAGAGCGGAAACCAGGCTCCGATCCCTTTGGCCCGGTCCCCCTTCCCCTCTCCCGGCCCTTGGCTTCATGCCAGGAGGGGGGGAGCCAAAGGCAGACTGGAAGGTTTTGAAGAAGCTTATCTGTGTGACCTTATGGCTATTACGATCGTGCATCTCTTCCCACTAGGTCAGCATGTGAGCCAATTATCCTTGAGATCTGGTCAACTAACAGCAACATTCTGGCTTTCTGGGCTAGAAGTTCTGGCTGAGACGCCACCCTGTCGCCACTCAAGGGGGCTTCAGCTCGCGGTGAAGGTCGACCTCTTACAAGGGCACTTGAAGCAGCTCGTGTGTTTTGGCAGGTGGGGGGTGGTGGGGGCATCTGATAGGCTTCCCTTGAATGCCGTTAACCTGGGGGGAGGAGGGGATGGAAGAGAACTTGCCGCCCCCTCCCCCACTTCTCTCCCTCCTCGGTTCAGATGCATAACAGGGCCAGAGTTTCCAGACAGAGAAACCACCAGAAAGGGATCCCTGCAGAAGGATCTTTGCAGCCGAGGGGGGGCGGAATGAGGGCTCCTTGGTGCTCTCTGAGCTGGGTTGTTTTCCTGCAGGTGTTTCATGACCCAACTAGGTAACATCATCAGAGGTTGGGAGGGGGGGGGGGGGGTGTCTCTCACTTTATACTGTAGTGTCCTGCCCTCTCGGTCTCGGAGGCTCTTGCAAAAAGTCTGCAAGAAATAGCCAAGCTCAGGCAGCACCAAGTGACCCAAAGGGGCAGCGAGAATTGGGCTGGGCAAAGGCCCGGGCTTGTTCGCATGCTGCTGGGTAGCCGCATCAGTTGTAGAGCATTCAGTTGGTCACTGGGGGGTGGGGGGGGGCATCCTTTATTCGCTTTTGTGATTCTTCTAGTGTCCAGGAGAGAGCAAGTGCATTAGGGAACACCTGCAGAGGCTTCCTGAGCGCCACGTGTGCCTTGGCCATCATTCAAGCATGCCTGGCATTAAAGAGGGCCACTCCAGGGAGCCTGGGGGAAATTGGCCCCCAGCCCCCGGGGGGGGTGCACGGTGGCCCAACCCTGCTTCACCTAAAGCAGGGGTGTCAAGCTCACGAGGCTACATTGTTGTCATGTGACGTATTACAACTCCCTCCCCCTGCTAAAATGGGCTGGGTGTGGCCAGAACGACGCAAATGGTCCTCCTCTAAACTAGCACCCGAGTGACGTGGCCCCCATTCCTCCTCCTCCCCGCAAGCTCCAAGCAGCCCTCCGAAGGGCTTGATGTGCAGAGAGGGAGGGGGAAGCGCCCGGCTGCTGCTCGTGGCTCTTCTGCAGCCCCCATCTTCCTCTTCCTGGCATTGGATTTGTTTTCAGAAGGGGGGAGCCAATGCCCCCCCTCCTCTTGGGCCATGTACTGCCCCCACGGCTGCAGGACCGACCAGGGACCTTTCTGTGCTCTGGATGCGGAACTAGCGCACTGCCGGAGAGGCGCCTTTGAACCGCAGCCAGCCGTGGCGGAGGAAAGTGGCAGAGGAGCGACCGTCCCATCCCCTCAATGGGCTGTCTGCCCCCACCCCCCACGGCTTTCTCTCCATCTCAGTTCCTTCACCAGAAACGCCCTTGGCTTTGCCCAAGAACCCCCACGCCCAGGCAGTCCCTCAACTTGACCAGGGAGCCACAGGGGCCGCCAGCAAGAACCCCACTTCCCTTAATTCTTGAGGACGTCTCCTATCGCCCCCCCCCCAGGCAGGGCTGGATGCAGGTGGGGTGGGGTCTTGCAATCAGAGGTCGGCCTTTGGTCAATGGCAGGGCGTGTGTGTATGTGTGCCTCTCTCTCTTCCGGGAACAGCTGCGACTCACGCTTTTGGTTCACGCTTTGGTTCAGGTGGGGCAGCATTAAGACTGGCCGCATGGGGTCTCGGCTCAGCCTGCAGAGGGCGCTGGTCAACCAGGGCCTGGTCCTCTGAATGGAAGAGACTTTGGGGCGCAGGGGCTTCACCTTCCAGGAGGGTGGGGCTCAAGGCAGCCGAAGCCCTGGGCGGAGGCCGAGCGATGCGGCACGGTTGCCAGGAAGCTGCCAGGGTACCCAGGGCCCACCCTGAGGCCAAGCTTTCCAGGAGGCACCCAGCAGCTCCTCCTCTGGGAAGGTCACTGAGAGATCCTCCGCTCCCACCCTGGGGCCCCTCCAGAACCATGGGCCCCCTGCTCCCGGGTGCCAGAGGGCCACAGCTCAGCCACGCCTGGACGCCCAGAATGACTGCAAGGCCAGGGCAGGCAGGGGTGCCCATTTCACAGGGCAAGGAGGAGACGGAGCTCCGTCCTCTGCGTGTGTGCGAATGAGCCCAGGGGAAGGATGGCCACCCAGAGGCTCATAGGTGGTGGGAAAGGAGGAGGACCAGACTCTGGGGCAACGTGAAACCCTTCCCCCGGGCTGCCCAGCCCTTTGCAGGGAAGTTGCCCCTTGCCCGAGCCCAGCTCCCAGTGCCCCCCCCCCCCGGAAGGACCAGGCCTGCAAGGTCTCCTTGATCAGCCTAGGCCGGACCTGGGGCACCCCGGCCCCCTCCTGCCCTTGCAAATCACGGCCACCAATAAGCGTTCTGCAAGGCTTTCTCGCCAAGTTCCGTTTATTTTACATTAAAATTATTCAGCCTCTAAAAATAACTTCAGATTATACAGAACGTGATTGTGTGCAAATCAAAGGGGTGGGGGTGGGGTGGGGGGGTGTTGAAGATTGAAGAACGCCAAGACGTCTAAACTGCCCCCTTGCCCAGCAGCTCCTTCATCCTGCCCAGGGCAGACCGGGTCGCACCCGTGGAGCAGGAGCCACAGCCTGCCCCTCCTCCCCTGGCTCACTTGGCCACAGGCAGGGCGGGGGAGGGCTGCCCTACTGCCGCCTGTCGCTCCAAGGCCAGCTGCATGCTCCAGATGCTGAGGGGGCGCATGTAGGCCAGCGAGCGGAAGACCCTCCTCTGGCAGTAGGCCTCGGGGGTCTGGAAGGCCATGCCCAGCCGCTCCCAGACGGTCCGGTAGCAGCCCTCGGCGGTGCGGAAGCCCTCTTGCACCAGGCCCTGTGCTGGGCGAGAGGAAGCCCAGTCAGTCCGTCCGTCCGTCAGGCTGGCAGCCCGCACCCCCTGCCCTCCCCCGGGCCCCCGTCACCCACCTCCTGGATCATGGTGGCGGCCAGGGCGTACACCACGCCCACCCACACCTCGTCCGACTGCAGGCTGGAGGTGTCTGGCAGTCCCGAGGGGCGCATGCCGTTCACGGCCCCCATGGCCCCTCCCGAAAAGCCCAGCACGTTCAGCTCAAAGATGGTCTTCAGGGCGCTGAGCACGTGGCTGCGAGGGAAGACCTGCAAGGACCGAGGGGGACTTGTGGAGCCCCGCCCCACAGCCCCTGCCCCCCCGCGGGCCCCTGGCCCCTGCTCTCACCTCGGACCGCCCCTCGCCCAACCCACACGCCCGCAGGAACCACTGCCCGGCCAGCTGGTCCGCCATGACACTGTCCGAAGAGGGGCCGCGGCCGCTGTCGTAGTTGTAGTACTTCCCTGCAAGAGAGGAAGGGGGAGGTGGGGGCCGGGGCTCTTCCCGGCCCTGCTCGCCCGCCGGCCCGGCCCAGACCTACCGTTCCAGAGCAGCCGCTCAAAGGCTGCCGTGCCCTTAGCCAGGATGTCCGAGTACCTCTCCAGGGCCGGCCCGTCCGACAAGGCCTCCGCCATTCTGCACATCACACAAACGGACGCCAGCCAGAGGCCGCCACAGTAGGCGCTGGCGGAGCAAAGGGGAGGGGGGGTTTCCCAGAGGGAGGGAAGAGAGGCGCCTGCCCGCAGCCCCTCCCAACCGGGGAGGGTGGGGGGCAGGGAGACCCACTCCTGCGTCCCTCAGAGGGGTGACTGGGCACCTGGGTTCCCCTCTTCCCTGGCATGTGCTTCCGCCAGCAGTGATCACTGGGCAGTGGGGGACCCACCCCCAAAAAGAGAGCGGTGGGGCGACGAGGTGCCCCCTGGATCTGTCCCCAGAGCCCTCTCCATAAAAGGCCACCTCGCAGGGCTGGCGTTGTTGGGCAGCAGCAGAATCCCACCAGGCTGAGGTTGTTTTACTCCCCCCCCCAAGGGAGCCACTTCCCAGGGGCATCTCCTCCAGGGGCACTCAGCCCGTTTCCCGCCAGGCAACCCCCTCCCTCCCTCCCTCCCAGAGGCTGCAGGCACAGAGGCCACAAGGGAGGAAGCCCCGGATCAGGTCCACGTGGTCTGTGGCTGAAATGGTGCCCCCCCGCTTTAGTTCTGCCAGCTCTGCAGTGCAGGGCACCCGCCTCTGTCCCCCACCCCGACTGCCCAGCCCTGCCAGCAGGGGAGCCTTCCTCCCCAGGGGGCACCAGGGGCCTTGGGCAGGGGAGGCAGGCGGGGGGCTTTGCAATTGCTTCAGCCAGTGAAGGCAGCAGGGCCCTCCGGGAGGGCTCAGCTGCCAAGCGGTCACTTCCTGGGGGGTGGCAAACAGGAAGGAGCCTTGAATGGCTGGGCAGCCGCGAGAGAACCCGGACTGACCACACCCACCCACCCAGGGGGCCCTGCAACCTTCGCTGTCTGTTCCCAAGGGAAGGCAAGGAGTCTGAGAAGATTCCTGTGTGACCGGCAGGATACAACAAAGTGGCTGGCTTGAATTCTACAGTTGTGGGTTGGCTGCTCGGCCCCAGCACCAGCCCTTCCCCTGGGCCCTCTGGCCTGCAGTCTTGGGGAGTCCAAGAATCTTCCCCAAAGGCTGCAGTGGTTTGTAGCTGGGATGCCCCAGGCATCACGTGGGATTTCTACCCTGGGCATTGGGGTCTTGGGTCCATGCCTCAAAGACCCGACAGAAGACCCCCCACCCCTGCTGTTCAGGAGAAAGGAAATAAGAGATGGCAAGAAATGGCTGCCAGGCTACACCAAGCAGCCCCAGGCGCCACAACAGCCGGGGGGGAGGAGCCGTCAGCCCTTCCAAACAGAGGCTGGAGGAGGGGTCCCAACAGCCCCCCAGAAGGAGGCTCTACTGGGCTGGGTTCTAGGATGGGGGGGGCGGGGGGCAGGGCTCCTGGCCCATCACTCACCTGGCTCCAGTGGCCACCCAGGCATCGTAGGTTTGGTCGGCAAAGCCCGAGTTCTCGATGAGGCCGTCTCCATCTGTGTCGAACCTCAGTTCTGAGTCCATCACGGTCTGAGGGGCGGGGGGGCAAAGGAGTCTGAGGAGGGGTCCGCGGGGGTCCTGGGTGGCTGGCAGCCCCCGCCCTCCCCATCACGGCACCTGGCAGACAGGCCACATGTCCCGCAAGAAGGTCGCGTCCTCCATGAGGAAGTAGTCCCGGTAGACCTGTAGCACGAACTTCAGGTTGAGGTCCTTCCAGGCGGCCGTGTCATGGATCAGGTAGGCGTTGACCCGCTGCCAGGGCTCATCATCTGGCCGGAGAGAGCGGGAGGGGGTGTGGCTTCCCAGAAAGCCTCAAGGGGCCCCACCCTGCTCCTCATCACCCCAAGGAGGGACCCCAGATGACTTCCCCCCTTGGGGGCTTTTGCCCAGAGACCCAGAAGGTGGGGACCGCACAGTCTCCTCTCCCAACAGCCCCGCTCACCCCAAGAGCAGCCACAGGGGAAGCCGCCCCGGGAGTCCATTCAGGCAAATTGGAGGCCCCCAGCCTTCCCCGGGAAGGTCCACCCGCTCCCCACGCAGCGAGGCCCCCAGCCCCGGGCACAGGGAGGGCAGCTGGTCCTGGCTAAGGGCAGCTGCTGTGAGCGCGGCCTGACCTGCGTCTAGGCACGAGGCGCTTTACCTGGCTCTCCGATGTCGTGTGGAACTACATTGCGCAGCTTCACTGGGGCCGTCTGTCCACTCATGAGATACTGCCGAGGGTGAGCATCCTCGTTCAGCACTGCAGCAGCTGGGCAGGGCAGGGAAGCGCCATCAGCGGCAGCCGTCCGCACACCCGGCCCGCAGCTCCTCAGCACAGGCCAGGCCGCCAGGAGCCTTTGGCACAGCTCAAGGGGGGGCGCTTCCTCCCGCCCCCACCAGGGCCACCCTCCGGCCCAGGGCTCCTGCAGGGCACCCACCCATATCGTACTGCAGGCTGAGCTCCAGCTTGGGCCACAGCATGGCAAGCGCAAAGGAGGCGTAGAAGTGGACGTCGTAGGTGTTATACATCCGGTACTCCTGGCCTGGAAGGAAGAAGTGCCAGTGGCTGAGCATCACACTGGCGTCCCGGGAGCACCAGGGGCTTCCTCCTGGGGGAAGCCCGGACGCTCCCCCCAGCCCCGCCAAAGCAGAGCCTCACCTTCCAGATAGGCAAACCTCCCGTATTCTTGCAAGACTGGGAGCAGCTGGGAGAGGCCCTGGGCATCCCGCAAGGCCTCCCTGTCCTCGGGTCGCAGCTCCAGCCAGAGGGTGCCTCCATCGGCCAGGAAGTACAACTCGTTGAAGAGGGCCGACTTGTACCAGGGGGGCAGGTCGCTGCGAGAGGCACACGGGGTCCTCAGTGGGTCCTCTTCCTCCTCCTCCGAGGGGCGGGCTCACCCCCAGCAGGCCTGCCCGCCTGGCCGGGTGCCCCAGGAAGAGCCAGGGCCAAGGCACCCGCTCAGCAGAAAGAAGGTAGCGCCAACGGGCAGGGGGCAGGTACCCCCCCCCAAGGCTCACAGAGTCTGTGCAGCCCCACGCAGGGGACGAGGAGCCAAGGGTGAGGAGAGGAGGCAGCACGGAAGCAGCCTAGCCTGGCCAGAGGGGACCATGGCTGCACCTCAGCAGAGGGAGAGCGGGAAAACTCTGGCGGGCACTGGGTCCCCTCCTGCACCTCGGAAGCCCCTCGCCCACAAGGCGCTACCTGTTTGCCAAAATGGGCCCCTGCCAGGCCACGATCTTCTCCTCCCAGGCCTCGTAGCGGCTGAGCAGGTGGTGGGAGAGTGCCGGGCAGGCGTTCCCGTCGCTGCCAAAGAAGCGGGTGTACCACCTGCCGGCAGAGGGGAAGAGGGACCCTCAGCCAACCAGAGCACCAGCTGGCAAGCAGAGAGAGTGGCCGAGTCCCTCCCCGCCACGCCCCCAGGGGGGGGGGGGAGGGGGGCAATTTCCCCAAGGGGATGCCAGGGAAACCGGGCCTGTTGTGGGGAGGCTGGCCTGGCTTTTGCCCCAGCTCTGCAGGCCGGACGGGGACAGCCGGGGGACCGTAGGAGGCCCACGTCTGAGCCCAGGAGGGCTGCCCCCGCCTCCACCCCACGGTTTGGTCCCGAGGCAGCCCCACTTCCTGGATCAGGTGGGGCTGAGCTCCGTGAGTGTGCCGCATGCTGGCGCAGCCCTGGGCACTTCCCCGCAGGCAGAGCTGCTGCGTGGGTCACCCAGCTGGGCCCACCTCCAAAGCACGGAGACCCCCAGGAGGGAGCCAGCCCTTCCCGGAAGCACCCACCGGCGATGCTCCTTCTCCGCTGATCCAAAGCGGATGCGAGGCATGTCCCAGGCCAGGCCCAGCTCCAGCACCCCATGCCCGTGACCGGGCACCACGCACGTGGCACACACGGCTGCCGCACACACCTCCCCCTTCTCCGTGGGGGGGCTCTGACCTGCAAGAGAGCCCTGAGCATCAGGGGCCTGGCCTCCCGCCTTTCCCTGCCCCCCCTCAGGCCCCCCCCCCAGTAGCCCAGGGCTCACCTTGAGGAGATGCCAGCCGGCCATCCGCCAAGAGATCCTGCCAAACCTCCTGCCCGGTGCCAGCAGGGTTGAAGGCTGTGAGGTGGGTAACAGCAACACCTTCCTGGGGTGGGGAGACAAGAAAGATGGGAAGGATAGAGGGGACGGATAAGCCAGCCCCCCCCTCCACCCCCAGCTTTGCCTTGATGGGATGGGGGTGAAGATGGCGGTGAGGAGCGACGGAGCAGGGCAGTCGTGGGCGATGCGGGGCAGCTCCAGAAGAGGCTGCCGGGAGGGGGGCGTGAGGTGCCAGCAGGGGCCTTCCAGAGGCACCAGAGGGGGGAATGCACCCACCACCTCTCGGGGCCTTGTGAGTAGAGGCCTGGCACAGAAGCCGCAAGGGGGGCGCTCCAAGCAGCCTCTCTGCCAGCCTGCCACAGGCAGACCCTAAGGGCCTGGAAGGCTCCCGCGGACCGTTCCTGGCAGGGTCTCCGCGGGGCCTACCTTCTCCCGGGCAGAGATGGCTAGGGTGTAGGGGTTCGTAGGAGTCATGTGGTGCAGCAACACCCCACGGACGCAGCTGCCCCCCTTTTCCACGCTGAAGGGCTCGTTCCAATGGCCGCCCCGGCGGTCCTCCTTGGCCTCCGTGCCGTTTTGGAAGGTGAACATGATGGAGACCTCCAGCTCCTCCGTGCCCTTGTTCTCCACCTCCCAGACGAAAGCGCCCACAGGGAGGCTCGAGTCCTGAGGGCACAAGATGGGCGGCTCGTCTGGGCTCAGGCCCGGCCTCCCCGCCCCCCTCCCAGGAGCACCCGAGGGCCACCGGATGGAGGAGCCAAGGCCCCCGTCCCCCTGCCCAGAGGAAACATTGCCCGTCCGTGCACAGGGGGTCCTCAGGCTACAGTCATACATTCCGTGCCCAAAGGTTCAAGGGTGCTGCACTCTGCTTGCACCCATTCCTGGAGCGGGAGGCCCTGCTCGGGCTTCCCATGCCCCCGTTGTCTCCCGTTTGGAGCCCTGCACTACTCTGCCCATGGGGCGCCGCTGGTCCCCTTTAAAGCCCCAAGTGGCATAGCAGCGGGTTATCTGGCAGGCTGCCTCTCCTGGAGGGCATGGCTAGGGTGGGGAGGGCTGGAGAAGGAGGCGGCTCCAGAACAAGGAAGCTCTCCCTTCTGCCCAGGCAACACGGCTCTTTCTGGCTGAGCTCTTCCTTCCCTGGGGCTTCAGCTTGGGCCACTGGAAAAGGGCCACGGAGAGGGGGCCCAGTGGTCGCCCGGAGGAGGAGCGCATCGGCTCCCTTTTAAATTGCAACCTCAAGCAGGCAGTTACACTGTACAGATCACTCCAAAGTCAGACCGACTTTGGCAGGCAGGCTGATTACAAATTACACAGCCCAGGGCGGATGTTTTCTCTGAGCAGCAGGTTCGGAGGAGGGAATTTGCTGGAGCAATTAAATCCAGCAGGTGTGTGGCTGGAAGCCAAGTGGGGGAGGGGCAGCGGTGCAACTGCAGGCGGAGGCGCAGGGGTTGAAGCCCGGGCCTTCCCCAGCGCCCCGGGGCGGGGCGGGGGCCTCACCTGGTAGTCGTGCGGGATGACCGGCGTGATTTGCCGGCAGGTCAGCACCACCTCCTGCCCAGGCAGCTCGTAGACGGTCCAGGCGCGCGGGTAGAGCGCGTGGTAGAAGGCGTAGTGGCCGCAGAAGCCCCAGTTCCAGCCCTGCAGCCGGCTGGGCCTCTCGGGGGAGAGCACCTGCTGGTAGACCGTCCGGCCCTTCCGCCGCAGGCAGACCGTGAACTGAAGGGAGAGGGAGGGCCAGGCCGGCCGTCAAGGCGCCGCGGCGGAGGGCCGCGCCAAGGAGCCCCGGGGCGCGCCTCCTCGCCCGACCCACCTGGTCCGCCGTCACGGCCCGGTGCTGGTACATGCCCGGCGAGAGCTGCCACCTGCAGAAGTCGCCGCGCCAGCCGCGCGTGACGGTGCCGCCGCCCAGGCCCCCCAGCGGGCAGCCTGCGGAGAAGGGAGGAGCGGGAGCGGTTGGACGGCGGCCCCGGCGCCCCCTCCCCTCCCCTCCCCCCCCCGGGCGGCCCCTACCGTAGATCGGGCGCAGCGGCTGCGGGTGCAGCAGGTCGATGAAGGGCAGCCGCTTCTCCACGTGCGTCTTCCGGTACCACCAGCCGAGGTACCTGCGGGGGAGGGGGGGGTCAGCCGGGGGGGGGGTGGCGCGCCCTCCCGGCCCCCTCCGGGGAAGGGGCGCCCCCTACCTGAAGGCCAGCCCCAGGTGCCGCAGGGCGTGCGCGGGGGAGACGTCGCCCGCCTGCAGGGGCTTCCTGCGCTCGGCGAAGCGGTGGGCCAGGCACAGCCGCCACCCGAACCGCGGCACCCCGCGCCCCGCCGCCCGGCCCTCGTAGCGGCTCATCAGCTCCGCCGCCGCCGCCGCCCCGTCCTCCGCCCGCGCGTCCCGCCCGCAGCCCGCGCAGCCCCCGGTCGCCATCGCTGGATGAGCCGGCGCGGCGCGGCGGACTCCCAGGCGGCGCCAAGGAGCTGGGAGCGGAGGGGGCGGGGCCTAGCAGGCGGGCCCCGCCCCGCCCCGGTGAGCGGGAGGGAGCGAGTGCGCGTGCGCGTGCCACGTGGCCGGCCCCGCCCTCCGCGGCCATGATCGAGGTCTCGGCGTCGCTGCTGCGGGGCGCCGCTTTCCTGGCCGGGGAGGCGCTGGAGTGCCTGGTGACGCTGCGCAACCCGCTCCCGCCCGACGCCACCTCTGCCTCCAGGTACGCCCCGCCGGGGGGCGCCCTCCACCCCCGCCCCGCCGGCGCCGCCGCAGGCCGCTCCTTGGCTCGGTCCCTCCCCCCCGTGTCGCCCTCGACCCGGAATGTCCGCCTCGCGTGCCCCGCCCGGCCCGCTGTAAACGGGTGCAGAGTCAGGAGGGTCCTCGGAGGTCCTCTAGTCCAGCCCCCATTCCCAGGCAGGGGCCGTCCGGTCGTCTCTTAAAAAACCCTCCAGGGTGGAGGAGCCGCACCTTCAGCTCCGCCGGCCGGTGGTCCTGCCTGCCCGGAAATCCCCCCCCCCCCCGCCCCCGGTTGCCCCCCTCCGCGGCCGGTTTCCCCCGCCTTCTCGCGCCGGGGGGGGTTTCGCCCCCCCCCCGGCCGCTTCCTTGGGGCCGCCCCCCCAAAACCCCCCCCCGCCCTCCAGTAGAGCAGACTCGGCCGCTTCTTGCAACCGTCCCTCCTCTGTTTCGGCCCCCCGGCAGCCCTCTCTGCATCGGGGCGGCCAGAGCTGGAGGTCCAAGCGCGACCCTCTGCGAAGGCGGCCTGGGAACTGACTCCGCCGCCCGCCCTTGATCCGGGTCCCCCTGACCTCGCCCCTCTCGCTCGAATCTCCTTTGGTCAGATGGGGCCCAGGGCTCGAGTGGGTCGAGACCCATCCGGAGAGACCCATCCTCAGCCTCTGCGGGCGGAAGCCAGGCAAGACCCGAGACTGCTTTGCAGAGGCTGACGGGAGCTGCCCCCTGGGTGATGCTGTGTGGAGGGGCAGGCAGGCAGGCAGGCAGGGCCCCCTCCGCAAGGGTCTCCCCTGGGCCCAGCGCTCTTGGGTGCACCCAGAGAGCTAAACCCTGGTGAAGGGGACTGGAGGCTAAAACAGGGGAAGAAGAAGAAGAACGGTTGCAGGAACCGGGCCTGGCTAGTCTAGTGAAGAGAAGGACCAGGGGAGACAGGAGAGCAGCCTTCCAATACCTCAAGGGCTGCCCCAAAGAAGAGGGAGTCAAGCTATTCTCCAGAGCACCTGAAGAGCAGGACAAGAAGCAAACTCAACAAGGAGAGAAGCAACTTAGAACTAAGGAGGAATTTCCTGACAGCGAGAACAATTAACCAGTAAACAACTTGCCTCCAGAAGTTGTGGATGCTCCAACACTGGAGGTTTTTAAAAAAAATGTTGGATAACCCTTTGTCTGAAGTGGTGTAGGCTTTCCTTCTGCCTCGGCAGGGGGTTGGACTAGAAGACCTCCAAGATCCCTTCCAACTCTGTTATTCTATTCTGTTCTATTCTATTCTGTTTTATTCTGTTCTATTTCTTATTCCTTGTTCCTATTCTATTAATGCAGTGACGGGGATTGAGTCCAGTCTGGATGGGGGGGGGGATCCCATTTCATCTCCCTGTTTATTTTTATTTATTAGGTTTCCTGGTGGCTTATAAATGATAGAAACAAGTGAAAAATAAAAGATTAAAAGGAGCTGACATTCAAACATTATTAAAAGATGCTCTCTAGCCCTGCCTACAAGAGCCAAGAGGTGGATGGGATGGGAATGAGGATTTTTTACTGCCCCCTCGGGGCCTGGCCAGCAGGTCAAGCCGGCTTTTGATTCCCTCCCAGTCGGCCACAACAGAGGGGCCAGTTCTCACCTCTGCAGCGAGACTGGGCCCACAGCAGAGAAGGCTGTGACCTCCTTGCTCCGCTGCTTCTGTTCCTTAACAGGCAGGGTCCATAGCAGGCCTCTTCCACTGGGGTGAGAGGGTTGGGCTAGCCCCCTCCTCAGACACCCTGGGCTTGAGTTTGATCCGGAAGCAAACCAGCAACCAATGCAGCTCGCAGGCTAACCGTGTTGTGTGTGCAGCCCAAGGAGCTCCCAGGAGTGTGTCCGGGGAGCCACACTGCCTTCTGCACCGGCTGCAGAAGCTCTCGTGCAGAGCGCATGTTTTGTTGTTTGTTAAATAGTTATCAGTAGACTGAGATGGGGGACCATATACGTTGTTTAAGTAAGTTATAAAGTGTTGGATGGGGTCACACTGTCCCAGATAGACCCAGGGTGGAGTCTGGAGGTCCTCCTGGACTCAAGGAGCAGACGGCCCGGAGGGGTGACCCCATGTGGCTCACCTCACAGGGATTCCTCCCTTGGTCACCTCCGCGGCCTGTGTGGGGCGGCCCTGGAGGAGCATCCAGGGACTTTGGCTGCTGCACACAGCGCACGGCACAGGCAGCTGGGGACATTCCTGGGCAGGCATGTGCTGTTCCTCTGTGCCGTGAGCTTCCTGGCTTGCCCGTTTGGCTCTGGGTGCAATTCCAGGGCCCTCCCTCTGCCAGCAAAGCACATCTTAACCCTCTCAGAATCCATTTTTACTTACAATTATTCGATTGCTTTGACTGGTTTTTACATTCAGTTTTAAAGGGTTGGTTTTATTGCACACTGTCCAAAGTTCCCTTGTATGAAATGGGCTGCCATATAAATTTGATAGCTAAACATAAATAAATTGCCTAGATGAGAGAATAGAAAGAATGTACTTCAAATTTGCCGATGACACAAGGCTAGGAATTGGGGGGGGGCGTGGGGTTTGATAACTGTGCTGATCAGTTGGCTGGAGTCTTTACCAGGATCTTCAATCGGTCTTTATCCTAGTCCACTATTCCATCTTGTTTGAAGGCTTCCACCATTGTTCCGCCACCAAAGAAGTTCCCAATCAATAACCTCAACGATTACAGACCAGTGGCACTCACTCCTATCATCATGAAGTGCTTTGAGCAATTGGTCTGCCGGCACATCATTTCTGGTCTTCCGTATACATTTGATAAACACCAGTTTGCATGCAGAAAAAACAGATCTACAGAGGACACTATAGGCATCATTCTTCACGCTGCTCTGACTCATCTAGAACAGCGGGAGGGCTACGGGAGGATGCTTCTTGTGGATTTTAGTTCTGCGTTTAACACAATTCTTCCACATAAACTAATGTCTAAACTTCTGGACCTTGGGCTTTCTAATTCAATCTGCCTTTGGATTATGGATTTCCTGTCTGGCTGCTCACAGAGGGTCACGTTAGGTAATCATACCTCTTCAGCCCTTATTCTTAACGCTGGTACACCACGGGGTTGTGTGTTGAGTCCCTTACTCTATCCTCTTTACGTGTGCATGACTGCATTCCCACTCACGCTAGTAATACTATTGCTAAATTTGCAGATGATACAACAGTGGTGGGACTTATCTTGGGAGGGGGGCGGGGGGATGAGTCTGCCTACTGAGATGAGGTGGACCGGTTGCTTTCGTGGTATGGAGACAAAAACTTGGTCCTCAACACCAATAAGACCAAGGAGCTTATAATGGACTATAGAAGGAACAGACCAGACATCCAGCCCTTGCTTATCAATGGAGACCGAGGGGAGCAAGTGACCAGTTTTAAGTTTCTGGGTGTTACCCTAAAGAGGACCTGACCTGGGATGCTGACATTGCAGCCCTGGTCAAAAGGGCCCAGCAGAGATTCTACTACCTGAGGCTTCTCAGAAAACAACAACTGAATGAAAAACTGCTGTGACCTTCTACCACTGCACCATAGAAAGCATTTTTACTTACTGCACCTCTGTATGGTTTGCCAATTGCACAGGGGCAGATAGGACAGCACTCCAGAGGGTGAACGTCCTTGCCCAGAGGATCCTGGGTTGCCCTCTCCCCTCTTTGGAAGAGCTTTATAAATCCCGCTGCCTTAAGAAAGTTCAAAACATCCTCAAAGATCCATCTCATCCTGGGAACCCTTTTTTTTTGAACTATTACCATCTGCAGATGGTACAGGATAATAATAAAAACAAGGACAAATAGGCTGAAAAATAGCTTCTATCCCAGGACAGTAGCTCTTTTGAATTCTGCTGTATAGTGCAGTGTTGGTGTGGTGTTGGGGGTTTCCGGTTCAATGTGTGAAAGGTGAAGGATGTGTGTTTGTGTTTATTTTCATGGTCATGATGTGCACTGGAGATGGTGTTTGATTTTGTCGTACGAGGTGCAAAGACAATAAAGTAAAACTAAAATGGGAGGAACAAACCTGACACAAACCCGGGATAATTGCTAGCACTTTAGAAGAGAGAAGCCAAGGGGATTCAGGGGGTTCCTGACAGACCTGAGCATTGGACCTACCCAACAAGATGCAGTTCAGGGCTGAGAAAAGGAATGTCCTGCAGTTAGGCAGGAAAAACCAGATGCACAGGTACAAGATAGGCTCAGCAATGGGGAGAGGCATCTAGTGGACCACCTTTCGCGTCCTCAATGTGCTGCTACTGCTGTTGCCAGAAACACCAAGGCCGTTCTAGGCTGCACCCACAGAGGGGCAGCATCAAAACCACGGGACGCGATCGTGCCATTTCATACTGCGCTAGGAAGGTCCCCCTGGGAATACGGCATTCGGTTCTGGCCACCGTGATACAAAAATGATGGCGAGACCCTGGAAACAGTGAGGAGAAGAGCAACGCAGATGATCATGGCTCTTGTAAGCATGGTTTTAGCGCAGTTTTTAATCCTATTTTAACCTCTGCTTCTTTTAATCTTTCAATTCTTTTTCAGTTGTTCCTGTAATTTTTAAGAGGCTAAATTGTAAGAAGCTAAACTACAACCAGCAGCTAAAGGAACCCCAGGTGGGCAGGTTTAGTTTAAGGAAGGGAAGGCTTAGAGGAGACTTGATAGCTGTCTCCCAGTGCCTGAACAAGGCTGCCACAGGGAAGAAGGCCTCAATTTTGTCTCTAGGATAAGACGCAGTAGGTGGAAGCTCCTCGGAGGGAAATGGAACCTGGAGATAAGGAGGAATTTCAGTGGGAATGAATCATCGGGAACAGCTTTTGCCTCCTGGAATTATGGGTACTGGAGTTTTTTAAAGAAAAGATTGGATGGAATCCTGCCTCAGGCAGGGGGTTGGACTAGAAGACCTCCAAGCTCCCTTCCAGCACTAATGGCTTTATGATTCTAATTTCAGAAGTTTAACTGAAATACTTGACTATTGTGCCTCATTTGACAAAACGCGTTTTACGTGCGGAGAAACGGAGAATGTTGCGCTTAACAGTAAAAACCCAGTGCGAGCAAGAGGGAGGCTGGTCAGAAGGCGGGATGTGGCCATGAGCCCCTTGGAAAAGGCCTCTTCCCCACTGAGCAGGGGGTGGGTGACTGGCCTTAGCCTGATCCAGTCAGACCCTGGGTTGACGAAGGGAGGGGCCGAGGCAGAGCAAGGAGCCTGGGCAGCAGGAGGGCGGCTGGAGGGGGGCAGGGGGCTCTTTTGCCCTCAGCCCCATTTCTTGGAGGGGGCTTAATGGCTTGGGCTAGTCGTGGCTTGTGGCTGGGCCCCGTCACAGGGGGATCGGTGGAGGGGGGCGCCGGGGGTGCCAGCCAGCCCCATATCCTGCCCAGTGGCCCCAGAGGCAGTCCAGGAGCCCCACCCACCCCACAGGGAGGTCAGGAAAGGCGGCAGAGACACACCTGGAGCAGCCGGGACACTCAGCTGGGACTCGCTCTAGAGCAGGAGGGTCATAGCCGAGGCCTGTGGGACGGATCCAGCCCAGCCCACGAGGCGATTGGAGCCAGCCTGCAGCGCCATCCTGGTCTTCCCAGCGCGAAGGGGAAAAACCGGGCCCGCCTGGCTTCGGCTTTTCAGTTGGAAAGGCACACCTAGTTGGCCACCCCCGCCACCCCCCGGGCGAGGTCCACCGCAGCCCTCGATACAATGGAGTTTGGCCCCCACCCTGCTCTAGGTGAAAGCGAGGGGCTGCCGGCCGGAGCTCTGAACGGACAGTCCTCGGAGAATCGGACAAGGAACACGAATGGACATCGGCCCCAAGACACTTTTAATCTGTTGAACTCATGCAGAGTGCCAGAGACATTACGCACTCACACACGTGGTAGCCACTAACGGTTAACTTCCTGTTTCTGGAGACTTCTAGGTATAATCCCTCTCTACCTCCTGAGATTCTATTTGCCTTCAGCGTGAGGGGCCAGAGTCACCCAAAGTTTCTCAGGCAGCAAAACCGTGGAGAGAGTGTGTTGCCTGGTGAGGAAGGCAGCAGTAGCCGGGGCAGAAGTCCCCTGCCCTTCCGAGGGGCCCCTCTGCTTCCCTGGGCAGTTCGACTGCCCGCCTGACCTCCGAAGGCAGCTGGAGCCTCTTCTGGGGGGTCCAAGCAGCAGGGGAGGCAGGCTCCCAAGGGGGGGCTGGGAGGAGCTGGGCAACAGAGCCCGAGCCCCAGGCCCTCCCCGCTGAATGGGCCCCCACAGAGGCCGGCCAGCTGCAGCACCAGGGTCGTAGGAGAGAATAATTCCACAAAAGGTACCTGCTGACTGGAGGGCTTTGTGAATGGCCCAGTGCCCCCCTCCCCATGCCCAGTTCTCCCCTGGCACCCCCTGGGAGCAGCCAAGGCGGGGGTGTTGCTGCAAGGGTAGAGCAGCGTAGGGGCACTGTAGTCCCAGAGGAGGAGGAGGCGGAGGCGGCACGAACCTTATGTAGAAGATGGCAGGTGTGCTGTGAGAAGGTGCTCCTGGCCCTCTGAAGGTTTCCTTCTCGCTGGGCTCCAGTGGGTGAGCTGCCCAGCGGCCTGGTGCTGGCATGCGCTGGCATTCCTCTCCTCTTCCTTTCTTCCAGTGAGATTCTGGCCTGGGCCAGTGCTCAGATCCACTGCCAGTTGCACACCAGTGAGAGCCGGGTTGTTCTGCCACCTTCACAAGATACCAGCTATGACGCCCAGGCAGAAAACGAGACTGTCTTTGTGCCCAACAGAGGTAAGTTCCATCTCAAGGAGGGAGCCTCTTGGGGAGGGGGCAGTCATTGCCTGACCCCAGAGGGTCAAAGGGGGACCCTTGCTGGTCTTCCAAGTGAGGCCTGGCACCCTGACAACAGAGCCCACCATCGTGGCAAGGGAGGCACGGAAGCCGTGAGCGGACCATTTGCTTGGGCCTCTCTGGACAAGGAGAGGACGGGAGATCCCCTGCATGGGCTTCGGATGACCGCTCCTCCCAAGGAGGCGGCCGGAGGGAGGGATGGCTTTCTGTGGTTTTGAGCCCCGGGAGACAAAGGGATCCGCCCTCTTGCTCACAATTGCTGCAGAGACTTTGAACATGAAATTTGCAAACTTCATTTGCTAATTACTTTTGGAAATTGCTCATTAAGTCCTTGTAAGCTATTAAAGGCTTTTGGACCTTGAGTTTTCTTTCAATCTTGAATAAAATAAAATAATCATAAGGTGGCAACCAAATAGAGGCACTCCTGCACTTATGGCCATTAGTTCCAGTGACTGTTCAAAGTTACGACCGTGCTGGGGAAAAAAGGAGCCAAGCAAGGCCTTTGTCCACAGAAAAAGGGGCTCCGGCGGTGGCCCTGCGATCACAGGAGCCGAATGTGGGCGCTTGGCCACCCCCTCCCCCCTCCCCTTTGGGCCTCCCTGTCAGAAGCAGCAGGGGGTGGGGGGGTGGGGTGGAGGACCAGCTGCTGCTGCTGCCCCTAGGCCCCCCTCACGTTCCCCTGAGACCCAGTTTCCCTGCGCCCCAAAGGATCTGCTCCCCTTGTCCCCCCCCCCCCCCCGCTGCTTGCTGGCAGCCTGTCTGGGGCACCTGGCCTGGAGAAGGAGGATTGTGGGAAGAGGAGGAGCCCATTCTCCCCATCCGTGGGAAGCCCCGATCCCCCCGCTGCACCCTCCAGATCCCGCCATGGGGCTTCCCAGTGGTTGGAAGAACCAGACTCCGTGCGGGAGGAGAGCCTCGCATAGGCCAGGTGCGCCTGACAAGTGGGGGCAGAGGCAGAGGGGGCTGGCCTGCTGGCTGTGGGTCTAGAGGCGGCATTTCTCGGGGGCAGCGGCAGGACTGGGGGGCTGAAGGCAGTACCGGGGGCGGCTGGCTGCTGAAGACGCCTGGCCTCCACTCCCCCCCCCCAAACACACCCAGACCCAGTGGCGCCACCAAGTGTCAGTCCGCAGGGCAGCCCAAGGGGCACCGGAGGGTGGGCAGGTGGGGGCAGCTGCAGTCGAAAGGGCTGCCAGCCAGGGTGGGGGCTTCCAGGGGCCGCCATGGCTTTGCGTGGCAGCCCCCTCCCGGGGACACCCCCACAACCCTTACCTGGGATTCCACCCTCTCAGTGGACCACCCTTCCTGGGTGAGCCCGAGTGGAGGAGCCAGCGGCTGGGCAAAGGGGCCACATGGCATCTCACTTAACGGCTGCTTTGTTCAAGGACATTGGTGCTTGTATGTCGGGGTTGCTTGTACGCTGCTACCTGCAGGCTTGTTGCTGGTCCCAGGACCCGAGGGAGAATTACGCAGGTTGCAAAGGAAGGGAGCCCGGGGGGGTGGGGGGGGGGCAGAGGAGGTCTGCCTTTCTGGCCTCCAGGGGGACGGGCAGGGGTGGTGGTGGCTCAATTGCTTTATGCTTGTGGCAAAGGTCGTTACTCGTTTCTCTTTTTTCTCCTTTCTCTAAGTCTAGTTTGTACTAGATTTCACAACGATAACCAAATTTCTTAATAAAAGCTGCATTTAAAAAAAAAGGAAGGGGAAAGAAGCCTTGCTGTGGACTAGTGACATGCGTTGCCTTGCAGGAGAGCGGGGTCAGTGCATCCTGTCGACGCCCCCAAAGATCCTCTTCTGTGACTTGAGGCTGGATCCCGGCGAGTCCAAGAGCTGTGAGCACAGACTCCCCTTCCTGTAGGGGCTGCGCGGAGGGGCGAGGCAGGCGGGTGGCCGCCCCAGAGCGGCTGTAGGGAACCTGCCCTGCCCTCCCCACCTGGCAGGAGTCCGCTTCCGTGCCTGCCCCGTCTCGGCTGGCCCAGCTCAGCGGCCCCCTCCCCGCCCTCTGCCCCCAGACTCCTACTGCGAGACGCTGCCGGTGGACGGGCCGCCCTCCTTCCGTGGCCAGGCGGTGAAGTATGTCTACAAGCTGACCATCGGCTGCCAGCGGGTGAACTCGGCCATCAAGCTGCTCCGAGTGCCCTTCCGAGTGATGGTGCTGCAGGGTAAGGCCCCTCCCCTCCGCCTGCCCAGGACTCCAGCCTGCCAGGCCTCTGACGCGGCTTCCTGTCTCCCCAGGGCTCAGAGGCTACCCCTTTCCCCAGGATGAAGCTGTGGCCCCCTCCAACCCCTTCTTGGAGGAGGAAGAGGGCGGCGCCAAGAGGTCCTCCCGCCTGGCAGACTTGGCCACGGAGCTCCTGACGGTCGCCACTTCGCGGCGGAGTTTGCGTAAGTCCCCCTCCACCCCAGATGACTGTCCCTGGCAGCCCCCGCCCAAACCCAGCCTGTGGACCCCTCTGACCGTGCCCCCACTCCCCCCATCGTGCCCAGGGGTTCCTCTGGGAGAAGGCCAGCAAGAGTCCTGCGGCTCCTTCCGGACTCCGGCCATCGGGGGGCGAGGCTGAGCACCATCCCGGCCTCCCCCCCCTCCTCCTCCTGGGGCGGCTCCCCCCTCCATGAGCACCTGCTGGGCCATCCCCCTGAATCTCAGGGCAGCGCTCCCCATCCTCAGATCTGTTCAGCATCAGCAGCGCCCAGGGCCGAGTGGCCACCTTCTGCATCTTCAAGACCGTCTACAAGATTGGGGAGGACGTGGTGGGGACCTTCAGCTTCTCCGAGGGGGACACCCCGTGCCTGCAGGTGAGGGGGCCCAGGGGCCACCCAGGGGGGCTGCAGGGGGCCCTCCTGGGCTGACAGGCTGCTCTCCCCACCAGTACCTGGTGAGCTTGCAGACGGAGGAGCGGGTGCAAGAGGCCTTCCAGCGCCACAGGGCCCAGGCTGCCTCGTACAGCACCCACGCCCGGCACCAGGAGTCCTGCCTGCACACGGCCCGGACCAGCTTCAGCCTGCCCATCCCGCTCAGCTCGGCCCCGGGATTCAGCACCAGCGTTGGTGAGCCTGCGCGGCCCCTCTGGCCCCCTGGGGGAGGACCTGCCTGTCTCCCCTCGCCCTGAGCGCCTGCCTGCCTGCCTTCCGCAGTGTCCCTCCAGTGGAGGCTCCACTTCGAGTTTGTCATCCTGCGGGACGTGGCCGAGGCGCCCGTGGCTCCCAAGGACCAGTCGGAAGCCGCCAGCTGGACGGGAGGGGAGCAGGTGGACGTGGACACTTTCAGCTGGGATTTGCCCATCAAGGTGCTGCCCACCAGCCCCTTGCTGGCCACCTCCGCCTCCCAGCTGCCCAGCTGCAGCTCCCTCTCCATCTGAGCAGGGGGGGCCGGTGGGAGAAGAGCCCGGGGCCCTGCCCCCTGCGGAGTGGCAGGCTGTGGCAGGCAAGACCTGGCCCTGTGCCTTAGGACCTTCCCAGGGGCCTGCAGCAGCCCGGGTTCCAGAGGTCATTCTTGGTGCCCCTCCAGCCCCTCCCCGTCCGGAAAGGAAGGGCCCGTGGCCCCTCTCCCCCCTGGAGGTTCAGGGGCTGTGCTCCGTTTAGTAGCCCTGGAGGGGCCCTGGCTTTAAGGCTGGAAGCCCCTTCTGCCTGGGGTCGTGCCCACTCCAAGGACTTTGCCCTCCCGACCTTCTGCTCAAGTTGCCCAGGGAAGAGTTTGGCCTTCCTTGCAGCCAGGGACGGGCATCAGCAAGGGGTTCTCTGCCCAGGTGCTGGGTGGGCGTGGCCACGGTGGGCGTGGCCTAGTCAGCCTCCAGTACCACGGCCGGGGGGGGGGGGCGTTTTTGCTCACCGCCCTTAACTTACTCTGTAGGTTCAGTTACTTCGTGTTACTTTTTGAGGAAAGAAATGCCAGTATAAGTGTGACTCTCCTGGTGTATTTAGCTGAACAAGGACTGAATAAATGGAAGTAACCCTGTGGAGTTGTGTCTGGCTGGTGTCTGGCCACCAGGCTCCGTGGAGCCAGAACGTGGTCCGGGCCCGTTTGGGGGAATGATCCTTACTAGACTTCCTGGCTGGCTTTGACTTCCACAGATGCACCCCAAGCTCGGCTTGTCCGCTTGCTTTTGGGGTGGAGGGAACGGATGGTCCCCACTGGCTGCAAGAGGCTCCATAACTGCTAGGCTATCCCCACAGCCTGACCCTCTCCAGAGGAGGCCAAAAGAGCCGGGGAGGGAGGGGGGGAGTCCAGGAACCCACCCACCCCGCCCCCCAGGGAACCAGGCAGGAGCCCTCGGGGGACAAGGTGCCCCTGCTGGACCCCTTCCCTTCTGCTCCTTGGGCTCCCCCTGCGGCAAAGGGGGGGCCTGGAAGCAAGGGGAGGGGAGGGGGGGGCGGCTTCTTTTCATCCCCTACGGAGCCAGCCGGTCCAGAGTGACGCTGGAGGGAGCGCAGGCAAAGGGGGCCTGGGTGAAGAGAGAGGAGACCTCTACGCTAAGCCAGGGGTGTCAAACTCAAGGCCCAGGGCAGGCAGGACCTGGCCCACGCTGTGGCCGCACCCGGATCCCCGCGTGGCTTCAGCCCAGGCTACCCAGTGCAGAGCCGTTTGGGGAGTGGTGTCAAGCTGGCCACGCCCACCCCCACCCCAAGGTCAACCACAGCCCTGGTGTGGCCCTCAGCAGCAGGGAGGGAAGCCTCACCTGGAGCCCAACCCGCCAGGAAGGCCTGAGCCAACCTCTCGGAAAGAGGCTCCCCTGTTCCAGGAGGGGAAGGATGGCCAAGCATGGAGGCCTTGCCAGTCTTCAAACAAGGGCCTTTAATAGGGAGCCTGGCCTAAGCCCCCTTTGGGCTGACAGGTGGCCCTGGAAGCCACGGAGAGAGCCAAGCGGGCCGGAATGGCTGCATCGCCCCCGTGCGACCTCATCCACAAGGGTAGCCAAGCCAAGGCTGTCTCCAAAACACGAAAAGGGCCCCAGTTATCCGCTGCATCCAGGGCTTGTGAGCCCCCCCTGCGCCCCCCCCCCCCCGGATATCCATGATCCATTGTCTCCTGTCATCTTCCAGCTTTGCCAGCCTGGTCTCTCCACACCTGGGGGGGACGCCACTCCCAGGGGACCTTTTCAGTGCAGCTGAGGTCCCTTCCGAAGTGGGGGAGCCCTTCTCCTCTGGGGGGGGGTCTTCTCCCACTGCAGGCCAGAGCCAAGAAACGTCAACACTGCGGAGGAGCCTCCCTCTCGCTCTCCCTGCAATGCCCCTCCCACCTTCTGGCAGAGGGAAGGTCTGAGGGCTGTGCAGAAAAGCCCCCCCCAGCAATCCCCCCCCCCTCGGTCAGCTGGGATTTACTGCATCCCTCCCTGCAGAATTCTTCTCTGGGGTCTGGACCTAAACCGCTCCCCCATCCCAGTCCTTCCCTGACCATTCCTCCGGAGCAAAAGCGGGGGGGGGGGGGGGAGGGGGGGCGGGAAAAAGTGATGAGGAAACAGGGGGGGGGGGAGGTTTGGGGGGGGTTCCGAATGTTTCATTCCCAGGCTAAGTAAGGTCTTCAGCAGAGGCCAGGGAACAAGGCCCAGCACCTGTCGACTTGGCCACCTGGACCAGCTCGCCCAGGGAACTTGGCTTAAGGAGGCCAGCATTGCCCAGTGGCCGGTTCTTCTTCTCTGTCATCCAGAAGAAGACAAGCTAAACCCTGCCGGCCAGGGGAGGCCGGTGTGGGAAATGGCTGCGCAGGTGGGTGGATGGAGAGCTCAAGAATGTGGCCTGCAACCTCTCCCTCACAGTCTCGCAGCAGATCCTGTTTCCAGATCAGAAGACGAGACCACGAAAGGTTGGAGAACGCAGGTTTTTATTCGTGCTCAAAGGTTCAGAGCATCAGAATGGCAAATTCTGAACCCCCGGCTCTTCCTGGGGCGTCACTTTCATACATGTCATAACCTCAGCCTAGCCCGGGGCGTTTCTTACGTTAAACTATACCAAAAAGGAGAAGTACATTTCTGTTATTTTCCAGACCCGTCCTTATTCACTGAAACATGCTTACTTCCAGTTCAGCAATTTCGTGATTTTGCACAATATTTCTGAAATAAGAAGCAAGGTAAGGGGGGGGGGGGGGGTCAGAGGATTTCTGGTAAATGCATATTTTGTTTTGGACCTTCCAGGCTGCTTCATTGCCAGCCCACAGTGCGTTTGTAATCGGGACATTCCCGTTGCAGCCCCCGAAACTCCAGGTGCAAACATTTCTCCTAGCTAAAGGATTGTTCTTTGTAGATAACAGAAAGGCAGGGAGGGAGCGGGGGCCCATGGCCAGAAGCAAGTCATGGGGGTTTCCCTGCCGTGGTTATTAGTCCCATCCCCCACCCCCCCGCATTTATGCCCCGGAGAAAACGGGGAGGGGGAGGGGGGGACATGAGACAAGGCCTTTGGGGGAGGAGGAGGAGGCCTCTTTCAGCAGGGACTGACTTTGGCCAATGCCACGGAAGCCTCCGCTGTGGGCTTCCGGTCCTGCCTTTGGGCTCCCCAGCGGTGAAAGGCCGTTTATAATACAGCTGCTGAGAGGAGGATAAACCACCTGCTCCCGGCTCCTCCTCCCTCTTCGATCTTTTTCACAACTTCACGAACTTACCTGAATTAGGGAAAGTTCATCAAGTGATTCTGTTTTTGTTTGTTTGTTTTTATGCCTCCTATATTAAGACAACTGTATATTTGATAAATTTTGTTTCTTTAGGGTGTTGGCTATTCCTGCCAGCTTAGTATATGGAAATGTGGTAAGTTCCCCTTCTATTCCCTCATTTAGGAAGATATGGAAGAGTCCTGGGCTTAAGGCAGAACCTTGTGGCACCCCACTGCTTACTTCCCTCCAGGTAGACGTAGTCCTATTAAGGACGACTCCTTGCGTATGGTTGGTCAGCCAGTTGCGAGTCCATCTGGTGGTGATGCTGTCTATCCCACTTTTTTCTAACCTACCAAGAAGTAGGCTGTCGAATGCCTTGCTGAAGTCTACGTTTGTTATGTCCACAGTATTTTGCTGGCCTACTAATTTAGTCACTTTGTCAAAGAATGAAATAAGATTGGCTTGGCATGATCTGTTTTTAACAAAGCTATACTGGCTATTAGTTATAACCTTATTGGTTTCTAGATGTTCTCAGATGCTTTCTGATGATCTTTTCCAGTATCTTCCCATGTATTGATGCGTTACATCCCAGGATAGTGAAGAAAGTAGCAGAGATGGTTGCATAGCCACTCTCCCTGACCCCAAGAAGGACTCCGAGAGGTTTGGTGAGGCCCTAGGAGGCTGGAGGGGAGCAAATGCCGTCCCCATGTTCAAACGGGCGAGAAATAGAAGGCATCGTTGTCTACTTGACATCGGTGCTGAGCAGGGTCCGGCCACTGATCATCAAGCAGTGGTTGCCAGCAAAGGGTGGTTCCATGTTTCCAGAAGTGGGAGGGGTGTGGGTGTGGGTGGGGGGCTAGGTTCAAGCAACACAGGCCTGGCTGGCCTTATCTCATTTAAAAGAGTTGCTAAATCAGTAGACAGTGTATCTTCTGCTGTCAACAGAGAAGTTCCCCTCGGGATGGTAGACGTATCTGCTGAGCTCTGGCTACCCCAAGTCTGAAAGGAAGAGTTAGAGGAATTGGGGTGAGTTCGGAAGGAGAAACGAGCCAAATGCGGAACCGTTCAAGGACCTGGATATGGTCGGCCTAGAGATGAGATGATTCTCTCTCGACCCAGAGAGCAGGACCAGACCTATCAAGGACAACTCTCAGGAAGGAGGTTCAGGCTAGACATTAAAATGAACTCATTTATTTATTAACATTTGTGAAAGATGTTTATGAGGCTACTTGACTCCAAGATATTGAGTCTTAAGGTATTGAGATTTACTAGCTGACCAGCTGTTGTAAGGCTGATGCAATGAGGATGAATCGGCGTATGTACATAGCTGTCTTGTATATATACCGCTGTTAAAAGACAAAGTCTCTGTGTGCTGTGTTTTGCTCCTGGGTTGTCTTACGATAGTCGCGCTGCAAACACTCTGACGAGATGACTCTGAGTAACAGTAGAAATAAACACAAGAAAGGAAAACCAATCACTCAGCAAAGACGGTGCTTAATTCAGAAGGAAAATTGCACATTCTTTACAACCACCATATCCTGCCACAGCTGCCTCCCCTCATCCTAGCCCAAAGCTTGGGGAGAAAAACAGAACTCAAGGGCTTGTCCAGAGAAGAGTGAGATGGAAACCATTTGGGCTTCTTGGGGGCAGGAGAGTGGCAGAAAAGGACCCTTCCTGGACCCCAGTTTTATGGATGGTCCCGGGAGCGTCCCAGTCCCACCTGTAACAACCCAGGCAGGCAGAAACCATGGGAGACAGGTAGCCCCTTCTGCAGGAGCCAGGGCCTGTGCCAGGGCTCCAGAAATGGTAATCAGTGCCTGAAACTTCCTGGCTATATCAG